ATAGATAGATAGATAGATAGATAGATAGATAGATAGATAGATAGATATCTGGCTGCATTTGAAGGCCTTTAACTGCTTTGCAGATAGATTTGATTTGTTATCATTTGTTTCTGTGAACTGATGAATGAGTGGAACTTGTTTGTGAAGCTTGTCCACAGTTGTTTTTGTTTTTTTGTTTCGTGTTCATGTTTGTGTGCTTAAATAGTGTCTTGTTTTGTTGTCTGCTCCTTTAATTTGCTGCTGTCGGCTGTTTTGCACCAGAGGCTGATAACCAGCTGTAGTTTATGCACATAAAATCAATTAATACATTGTTCTGAATAATGTTTACAGTGAATTAATATCACCAGAGCTGGTTTCTGAAACCTTTTCACTAATCTAGAGTGAATTAATGGACCAAAATCAGGTTTCAGAGCTTGTTTCTGGAAGTTTGTCACCAGTTTAGAGTGAATTGATGTCATCAGGCCTGGTTTCTGGACAACAAAAGCCACTGCTTTTTAACCAAAAGGAAAAAACCAGATGAGTCACGCCCAAACGTTTGGGCGTCTGAGAGCACAATTGCGTCACGGCTTCCTAATCTACATCTCTACCCACAGCTTTACATCACCATGCATTCACTGAACCTCCGACACTAGAAAGCAGGCTCACCACGACTTTAGTGTAACGTTAAAGATGAAAGAAAGAAGAAGAAAACGAGTCAGAACAGACTAATTCTGTACCAATAATGAGTCATTAAGTCCTCTAAGAGACTTGGAGTCGCTGGTGTTTTCAGATGTGACTGATTGTCTTAGATGGGACCAAGTATCTAGGAAAATTCCCAGAAACGCATTCTTAATAACTTGAATAATTCATACTTTCTGCTTTCTGCCTCCAGAACCAGCTCTGATTTCCACTAAATGAGCTCTGTTCCAGCAGATATTACAGACAGACGTGGAAACATGAGTTCAGGAGCTGAAACAGCTTCTCTGAGCAGCAGAAACTCCACATTTGGGGTGCGGTTCAAATCTAAAAATGAACTCTGATGCAAGTAGAAGTAGAAACCTCACAGGAACTTTAAGTGGAACTTTCTGAAGCAAAGAGTCATGATAAGAAGCTTTAGCCTCTTTCTGTCTGCGTCATGGTTTGAAAACCAAAAGAGGAACCCAGCACAGAGCTGGTCCACCAGGGGGAGCTCCTTCCTCCCAGACCGGAGGACCATCAGATGATCAGACCCCCATCAGACCTTGACCCCTGACCCCTGACCCCTGGGCTTCCCCTCCAGGATGCTGGACTCATTAAAGAGGACTCACAGGTTGGACAGAGCTCTCATTTAATGGCAGCTTCACCGAGCGGTTGGAGGTCTGTTTGTGGACCTGAGTTCTGATTGGCCGGCCCCTCCAGGCCAGCACTTCCTGCTTCCTGTCTGCAGAGGAAGCAGGAAGTGAAGAGGCAGCTTCACTCTTTCCGCTTTCGCTTCATCTTCAGTCGTTTGGGGCTGAACTTCAGGATCTGGCGCAGCAGCTTCCAGCCTCCTTTGGGCCGCCGATCCCTCTGGACCTCTCTGTCTTGAGAGAGGCTCCGCCTCCTCACAGCGCCGCCGCCATCGGCAACGCCGCCGCCGGCCCTCCTGCCGGGCGGCAGCGAGCTGCTCCGCCCCCTGCGTGCTGATTGGCCGGACTTGGCCTCCAGCAGCCGCTGCTTCAGCTCGTAGCTCTCCCTGGACGGGCCCACCAACCGGACGCCGCCCCCCCGCTGGGTCACCAGAACCGGGCCCTCGGCGCCGCCATCCCTCCGGATCCGGCCCAGGAGCGCCGCCCCGGCGGGGCTCAGCTCGCTAAGAGCCACGTCCTGCGTGCGCAGCGATTGGCTCAGATCTCCCAGCAGGCTTTGCAGCTGGCGGAGCGCCGGCCCGGAGCCCCGCCCCCTCAGCCAGACGCGGGCGCTTTCGCCGCCAGGCTCCGCCTTCAGCCGGACGCCATGTTGGCTCTGGATGGCGTCCAGTTGCGGCGCCCTGAGCCGCTGAGCGTAGCTGAACACGTCTGCGTCCACCAGCAGCACGCCATCGGACATAGAAGGGGGCGGGGTCAAAGGAGGCGGGGCTAAGGACGCGGACCCGCTCAGCTCCTCCAGGCGAGGCCTGGCGTCTCTGAGGCGCAGGAAGTGACCTTTGACCCGGACCCGCCCGCCGCCCAGCTCCGTCAGCTCAAAGCCGCGTGACCTCAGGACGCCGAGCGCCGCCGCCGGATCCGGGAAACAGCTCAGATGGAGCGTGGCCTCCACCGGGAAGTCCATCTGAGACACAAAGCAGAGGAAAAACGACCCGTTTGGCTTTCAACAGGTCGGTTCTGCTTCTGAATGAACCGAAAGCTGAGCTCAAATGTTCCTACAACATGAAAAAGGTTCTGGTTCTGATCAGGTTCTGGTTCTGGGTTAAACTAAACTAAACCACATTCTCTTTGCAGCAGTCGCTGTTTTTCTATGTTTTAACTTCATGTTTTTAATTAAATGTTCGGATCTTTACTTTATAAAAAGTATCTTCTTAACCTCTTGATATTATTCAATTATAAATATCATTATTATTATCATCGTAATTATTACTTTTATTTTTAAACACAGATGTATGAAGTATTTTTCCGGAACAGATGATCTATTTGAACCTTTAAAAATAAATCTTAGCGGTTTGATTCTGACCACTTGTTCTGTTAATCACATTAATATTTCAGCAGCTACTTTCTAAAACAACCTGCGACCACAAATAAACGACTCAAAGCGCAGTAAAAGCAAACTGAGTTGTGAGAAAACGCCTCACCGAAAGTGAAAGCTGGTCCTGGCAGCAGGTTCGAGGCACTAAAAGCTTCCAGAGAGCAGAAACGAGTAGAAACGGGCGGAACTAGCAGAAACTCCCCCAAAAACACCTGACAGAACAACCACCGAAGCCCCACATAGCGCTTGGGGGGGGACCGAGTCTGAGCGCGCGCATGCAGAAACGCTGCGTCAGGCGCGCGTGCACTGACCTTTGGTAACTTAAGGTGGACTTTTTAAAATCAGAACTTTATTGAACAAATGAACAATCACACCCGAGGCTCATAACTTTAATCACATTTAAAACACAAAACTGCAAGTTGAACATACAAAAATATTGAAAATGAATAAATATGTATTTCTTATAAACATGTTTAAGCCAAAATTAACAATAAACTATCAAGTTCAGTGTTTTAATTGTAGGTTGCAAAGGGTAGTTGGAATACATTTTCCTTATTTTAATTATTGGCTCCAAACAAAGTTTTCTTAAGGTGGATTTCTTCCGGTAAATTTCAGCCCGAATATAAATTTAAACCAATGACGTCATGTACGGTTAAGACCCGCAAGGAAAGCAAAAATTTGATTTTTTTAAAAACTTTGGAATTGCTTTTTTTGAATGAACTCATTGTTTTCTTTAAAACACACTGAGAAAATATCAGACACGCGTCAATTATTCCGGTGTTTTTATTCTTCCCCACTTCCGGTGTCATTTTCTCTACTTCCGGTGTCCAGAGGCTCTCGCTGACGGTAGGTTGTTTCAAAGACCATGAACTTTAGTGACATAAAAAATCACTTTTAGGCTGCAATGTTATTAAAATGTTTTCTTTAATACTGCTAAATTTAACACAAATGTTAGAACCTAAAAGAAAAAAACATTTAAGCTTTTAATCCAGATTACATCTGTAAAAATGTATTTGACATTTAGTTACAATTGAGTTTAAAAGAAGCAAAAACTCAGTCACAGAATAACTGAATCAGGAAAATAACCAAATCTTAACTAGTATGAAGTAAACCCCGATTCAAAGGCGACAGATGCCAGCTTCTCACACAGCTGTTAGAAATGTGAGCAAAACAGGAGTTCAGTGTGACTGCTGTTGATTTAACTCAGTCTGGAAACAAGCTGCACAGCAGCTTCTGGTTCAGCTGTACAGATCAGACCACCAGAAATGACCCGCAGACGTGTGCATTTTCATCAGAAATAATTTATTCCTTTCATGACACAGGAATCACAACACTTTCCCTCTAAATCCAAACATCCCAGCATGATGTCCTGACTCCTGGAGTCCAAAAAATAAAAGAAAAACTGGAACCAGGAGAAGCTGTCAATCTGCAGAGGGAGACGACCACCTGCTACTGGACCAGCAGTCCAGACGCCTGCAGAAAGAAACAGAACAGAATTAGAAACATGCAGCTGAAACCCTGATCGAGCCTCTTCTGCCTGCCTGAGATAAATACATCCACAGATCTACAGGCGGTTTGTCGGAGGTTTACCTATAACCCTGCTGCGGAGGCCACAGCAGGGCCTCAAACAGCCCCTCCTTTATGTGGCAGACACAGTAGGAAAGGCCGGAGCCACGGCAGGCTCGGCCTCG